GAGCCAAGCTGAGCCAACATCCTGAGAAACCAAAACTGATAACAGATGGAAGAAAGTCAGCCTAAGTGGAGGATAAAAGTTCCCCAGAATGGAGAAGGCCATGGTAGACTAAGTGGACACCAAAAATGTGGAGGCAAAGTTGGATGAGAAACTTCAGGGGAAGCTGAGCTTGCTGCATGTCCTCCAGCCTTCCAGGCACAGCCACACAGAGCAGTGTGGTTGTGAGGAAAGGGGATTCCAGTGGATACATGCACCTGCCCTAGGAACTCTCTGAGTGGACTTGGAGCAGGATCATGTCACCTGGAAGCATAATTCCAAGGGAGGGAAGAGACCACTGTGGAGTCCCAGCCATTTTCAAACACTAGAATTGGGAGCTGCCCTCATTGCAGATGCCCAGCAGGTGAGTACCAGAGTAGAGGGAATCACTAGAGGGAAAAAGTTGGAAACTGCACCTTCAGCAGTTGTGCACTAACTTAGGGAAGTGCAGGGTAGGGTACACCTGCTGCAGAATCTAGTGAGACTCCTACTGTCCTTCTCTACTGGCAGTGGGTCAGGATCTGCATGCAGCATCTCTCTGTAAGATGAGATGGAAATTGCTGGGAAATTTGGAAATTGCTCAAGTTTTCTAACAGGAACCCAAAGCCATGAGAGGGAGAATAGCAGCAGTTCCAGAACCTCATGGCATTTTCCCTGCACTGGACAGCAACACTGAATACTGTGGACAGGACAGAAATGCTGCACACTGTGACAAGGAGACCCAGCAGACCAGGCCCTGAGCACTGTCCTGTTTTCACCAGAGCTCACAGTTGGACTCACCAGGTGGGGATGTGTGGGTGGCTGCTCTCCCAGGAGTAGATGGCTTCCTCCTGGAGAAGGGGCTGACTGGTGACAGGCTACATGGGCTGAACTGTCCTTGTGATGGGAGGCTTGCAGCCACATTGGTGCTTTCATTGAGCAAGCGCTGTTCAGATCCTTGGTGCTCGGGCCTGAGCTGTGAACTGTGCATCCAGAGACACAGAAATAGTCACCCCAGCACCTCCAGAGCTCACAGAAGGAAACCAGCAAGTGATGAGAAGGACTGGGACAAAGAAGCCACTGCTGGGTGGAACTGCATCAACATATGTGTTGATTTTTCCTCTGGTTATTCCAGCACGTGCATCACCTGTCTGAAGGTAATGACTGTGACCTCTCAGAATAGCACCAGCTCCTGGGCTCCAGCTTCACTGAAAGCCATTCCCACTGTGCAGGTCTCCCATCCAAGTACTAACCAGGCCCAACCCTGCTTAGCTTCTGAGATCAGATGAGATCGGGCATGTTCAGGGTGGTTTGGCTGTAGACAGACTGTGCAGGTCTGAGGACAAAGACGGCCACATCATTGTCCTCTGACTGTGTTCCCTTGAGCTGGAAAAAAGAGAGACAAGTTCAGTGAGACTTACAGGTTCATCCTTGCCATGTTATCCTGATGTTCTTGACTCTGTCTGACAAGGGTTTTTCAACTTCACTTTTATCTCCCCACAGGAAGATAAGTAACATACTGGCCATATTCCTAAAACTGTAATACTTGTTTTTTTTCTCAAATTTGAAATAAATTAAGGTAGAAATTTTATGCCCTACAAGAAGACATCATTATTTGTGTGTCTCACTGCTGGGCAGCTTGAAACAACAGTTGCACAGGCATGGCTGTCCCATGCGCAATTATACCACTTCTGCCTCAGCGGTAAAGCTGCCAGATGGGACAGTCATGCATGGAGCACTGGTGGATCAAGCCAGTGGGAACACAGTAAGGTGATTTTTGTATTTGTAACAAAAACATAGGAGTGAGTATAGGACCAGAACTCTGGATTTATGATGCTCAAGTGGATGAACAACAGTAATTTTTATTCTACTAAAACAAGAATCAGCATCTATCCCTGATGTGCTCTTCCTATGTTGCCCTTTCCAAGTGTAGCAGATGTAAAAGCACCACTGAGCTCCAGAGCTTGGATCTGCAGCAGATCCACTCTGCAGCCCTGTGGTCAAAGCACTGTGCTGGTTACATGGGGATGCAGAGGTGTGCACAGCAGCCCTTACTGAGAAGAGACTAGCATGTGTGCACCAGGGTCACTAAGGACTCTCAGTACTGCAGCTGACATCATTGGTCACGGACACTACTGAGCCCACCCTGGAGGGAAGAGAACAGTGATGGGGCACAGGCCTGGACTCTCTACCTCCTGTAGATTAGGACAGAGGGAGCCTGGGGAAGCTCTCCAGAGAGTGTCCCACAGGTGAGGATTCACACACACTTATGTGGATTCCGTCCATGGTTTCCTCCCCACGGGAAAGTTAGATATAGAGAGTAGGTGTAGATGTAAAGAGAAGCCACGAACACATGAACTGCAGAGCCTGAACTATTTGGGGTTGGGCCTTTAATCCCTGTTAAGGTCTAGATCAGGCAGGGAAAGTGAGGCAGGCAGGATGAATGCAGGAGAGGGGTCCATGTTGGTGTAGAGAGAGTGCTTTGGTGGCCTTCAGCAGCACTGAGACTTCTGGAGAAATCATCTTGTCCAGGTGTCTGATGATGGCCCAGGATGCCCGATGACTGACAGGACCACTTGTTTCTGCTGACCTCCCAGAAGGGTGAGCCCTGCACTGCTCAGCCTGCCTGGAAACAGGACTGTGACTCCAGGAAAAGGAAGAACACAGATCCCAGGGTGAGAGTGGGAAAGCGTGACTGCGTATAAAGTGAGTGGATGACAATAGAGAAAGGGGCTTTGGAACCACAAAGGAGCTGGCTCAGATCAACCTTGTGTGGAGCCTTAGGACAGGGCGTGTGGTGCAAACATGGGCCCACCGGACACCGAACTTGTAGCCCAGTCTCTGCAGTCATCTCCACTAAGTTTCTCCTCTAGTTTTTGGCCAAGAGTACTTTTCTCATGGAGGCCAGGGCTCTCCTCAGAGTCTGAGATCATCTGAAAATCACTGACATCCCGTGGTGTAGTTGGAGGATGGTGTGGGGTGAAGGAGGCCCCTTTCTCAGGAGCTGGTCCAGCCTTCCCTCCTCTACTTGGACACGGGTACCCTGTGGTTCTGGGTCACTCCTGTTGTCCCCATTTGGGAATTCTCACAACTAACCTGGGAGGTGTTGGCCCTGTGAGCATCTCTGCTGAAAGTGCAGGCTGAGGACCCCTCGGCCGGTGCTGAGAAAGTGACGGGGTGATCGAGCATCACCCCCTCTTGCAGGCTTCCCCTCCTCAGCCTCAGCTTCAGTGTCACTGAGCCCCCATGGTACATGGGCACCTTGCTTCTGGCCGTGCCCTTACAGTACTGTGTTTGTGGAATCCTGCCATGGTCAGCAGCTCTCCGTTAGCTGGCATGCACCTATCCGCAACCAGTGTCCATTAACAGCTTCTGATGGGCCATGTTTTGTTCCTTACCCAGTGAATTGAACACAGACATGAAAAGCCCTCCTGTTCACATGTCTCCCCTGAACAGAAACTCTAAGTATGCAAAGTTTGGTATGTGAGCTATTTTACTCACATTGATAGCTGGAAAAAGTTCTTGTAGAGTGAAAATGAAATCCAGAAATCACAATTTAGTAACATTAAAAAAGAAAACCACACAAGCAACTCATCCTAGAGGAAGAGGCCAGGAGGTAGTGATGCCAAACTGAACTTTAGGAAAAGCCAACAGTTTTCCCAAGAAGCTCATGTAAAGTGCTTCTAGCAGCTATGATCACATGATGAATGCAGAGAAGTTAAGCCCTAGTAAGTTAATAATGTCTTAGTGTTGTAAGATGATTTATGTTCTACACATTTCATAGGTTTAGAAATAATGGCTCATTCAAAAAAATAACAATGGCTGATCCAGACGGTGGTAGTGCACATCTGTAATCTCAGCACTCAAGAGGCTGAGGCAGGAGGATCTCTATTTGAGGCCAGCCTGGGCTATGTAGGAATTTCAAGGACAGCATAAACTATATAATAAGACCTTGTCTCAACAAACAAACAAAAATAATCAATGAATATTCAGAGAATAATGTCCTGAGAATTTTCCATGTTTACCTTTGCTTTGCTTTACAGTTTGGATTTCAGCCAAACCCCTTAGAACTGTTTTAGGGATGAAGACATGGCTAGGTACATTCTAGGCCATGCTAGCGAAACTATGAACTGTTGGGAAATGATTTCCATGTGGATGGTGCTGTATATGCAAAGGGTGGGCCCTGAGCAATATGCCTAGGATTTTTGGGAAAGAGGTTGTGGAGAGCCGCCCAAAGGTGAACAACTTTTGGGAGTCAGGGATGAGCACCAGTTCCTCATCAGTGGTGACTTTCTGAGGGGACAGGGGCCTTATGCATCAGCACAGCAGGGGCAGCTGGAGACAGGGGCTCCAGCATTCCGTGACATCACTACCTTCCAGTTCTCTGCAACTGCCAACCGTTGCCAGGGAAGCCCGGCCACAACAGACTCCCTGGAGCCTGAGTCTGAGCGCAGGCGGGATCTTCTGCTCTGAACTTGGATTCAGGACCTGGATTTATCTGAGAAATTCACAAGGGCTGTGGGTGTGGATCACCTTGTTCCCAACAGTGAGTGCATCAGTGTTCTTACTGTCCTTCCTCAGTTCAGTCCAACCTATTTAATTTCCTTTGTTTTGTTTTGTTTGTTTGTTTGCTTCTTGAGTCAAGGTCTCCATATGTATGTGGCCCAGGCTGGCCTTGAATCCGCAGGTATCTTCCTGCCTTAGCCTCCTGAGTGCCATGTTGAAAGATGAGCTCCACCAAGCTCAGCCTGATTCCCTTGGATCTTACCCCAGCTTGTGTTTGGATTTCTCCACAGCCCTTGGATGTCTATCTGACCTCACTGTGGTCACCATGGCGGTACCGCTCAGCCCAGATCTGGGGGCTGAAATGGATGTGGGAGAATTCGAAGAGGATATGAGCTCTCGCATGGGAGAGCATGAGCTGCGATTTGAAGACTGTAGATCAGGTTCTGTTAGACCTGGAGCAGCTCTCGGCTCCCTGAACAACAAGGAGCTGAAACGTGGTGAGTTGTGTAGGTTCACAGCGACCAAAATGATACATGGATCTGTTCTTCCTCTAAGTAAAATGGTCTCCAAAAGTGGTTCTTTTCATCGTTAGAATAAATTCACCTTCACACATTCCTAGGAAGGGGGAAGTTGGGATTTTGCCCTCCATTTCCATTTGAGTGGAAAACTGTTTCTCCCAGTTGATAAGGAGGAGTAGGATGGGGCCAGGGCAGAATGCCAGATACCAATTCCTGCTGAAGGCCTGCAGGGGTCTGCTTTTCTTAAGAACAGGCCAGGCCAGTTTGATGAGGTCCCTCTGTGTCCCCTATCATTTCCTCCAGACACGTAGCATCTCTCTTGGCCCAAGGTTCTGGGACCAGAGACCAGCCTGGCACTGAAGCTTCTGTGGAGTCCGAGTGGGCAGAGCTCCCTGCTGGTTGTGCCAGGGACGCGGCTCATGAAGGTTTCAAAGGAGCTCAGGGAGATTCCGAGCCTAACTGACCGTGTGGCAGCCATCACTGTCACCATGGAGACCAGGGCCTGGCATGGCAAGGGGAAGCCCTGCGTGGTGGGGCACAGGCTCCTGTCAGGACTCCAGGAGAGCCAGTCCATGTCATTCAGTGGAATGCGTGTCTGGGACACCAGAATGTAGCAACCATCGGTCTCTCCATGAACCAGTGGCTCTCGGGGCTGGGGCTGGGCGGCCGGTCCAGGGGGACCTCGAGAGTCCAAGCTCCGAGCCGTGAGGCCGCAGTGAGAGAAGTGTGGAGGCAGCGCCAACTGGGGCCCACCGCACAGTCAGCAGCAGGGCAGCCTCCCGCAATCAGCCCATAGCAGGACCCATGGGCCTGTGGGGGAGAGGGCAGTGGGGACTGTGGAGTGAGGGGGCAGCACTTGGCACAGGACACTGGCCATAGGGAATGTCACCCCCTCAGAGCCTGAAGTCCCCACATTGACCTAGAGTGTTCTCTCCATAAATTCATTGCTAGGGGTTTGTTTTGTTTTGTTTTGTTTTGTTGTGTCAATTGAAAGGGACTCAAAAAATAATCAAAGGTGAACCATGTGAAGGAAGTCCCAGGTTAGCTTTGGGAAGAGGCTACCTGTGTTTCACTCACGTTGTCCTTGCAGACAGATTTAATTGCAAGAAAAGATCCTGAGGGTGATGAGGGAGAAAACCAGCCCTGGGCCCAGTGGAGGAACTGTGTGGAGCATGGGCACCATGCCGTCCCGGGGCTCTACCCCAGGAGTCTCGTCCTCTGGGCCTCAGACAGCTCCTGTCCTGCGGTCTCTCCCAGTCCCTACTGCACTGGGTGGCAGTGACTCATGAGTCCCTGCAATAATACTCCTACAGCCGTGCCTGGCCCAGGTCCACACTCACAGTGGGTTTTGCTGTTCTAAGTGAACACCTGCATTACACTGTCAAGTGTTTACTGTCAGCTCCTCAAGCTGCCATTGTATTGTATGACAATACAATGTATGACATGGCCAGGGAAGATTTTTCATCTTTCAGAACCTTGTTCTTCACGGGCATCCCAGGACACGGCCCTCTCTGCTCTAATCCAAGAACAGAGCTGGCACGGCTGCATGCCCAGCTGAGGGAGTGAGTGAGAAGGCTTCAGGCTCGGCCATCCCCAAGGTCCCAGATGCCCATTCAGACTGCAGGGATGTGACTTCTGACTGTGTGTCTGGCCAGCTGGGTCTTTGTCAGTGTCTTTGCCTGCCAGCTTCTCTGTCCTTTCCTCTGAAATAAGGATTATCAGATATTAGCTATTGAGAAAACCAGGAAATAAATATATGGAAATACTGGCACTGGTGCTGAGCTATCCATGTCCTTGCCATGGGCCTGGGCTCCTCTGTAAGGTGCCCAAAGCTGCATGTCCAGCTACCCACTGAGGCAGGGCATGTGTCTCTCCTCAGGGGCCATGAGGTCCAGAGATGACGTTGACTCTCTGCTGGGGGAGAGGCTGCACCCCGAGGAGCGGGAGCTGCCTGCACAGCTGCCCCTGGCCGAGCAGCTGAGGTAAGGGGCTGTGCGGGTGGTCGGGGAAGGTGTGTGAGTCCCTGAAAGGGGCAGCTGGGCTGTGAGAAGCAAGAGCAGGCGAGGGCCAGGGAGCACAGGACCCCACAGACATGGGCTCCGGGTACTCATAAAACATGCAGGGAAGAAAGGTGACAGGTGATGCACTTGGATTGCTCTGAAGACCTTCATTTGTGCTTTTCCAAAATGCATTGAGGTCAGTTTCACACAGTATAAAATGAAGGAAAAGACAGTGAACAGCTGTGTGCTGACTGTGGAGGGGCAGCCTGGGTGTGGTGCTGTCCGTCCCCATCCCTCTTCCTCCCGGGCACCGTGTGCCTGGTGAAGGCAGGTCCCACTTCATGCACAGGAGCCGTGGCTTCCTGAGCCTGCAGAGCTCTGCTCCTGCATTTTCCCAGCAGCCCCAGCTGTATGTGGACACGTGTCTGTGTCGGGTGTGCGTCCCACTCTGCACAGGACGCTGAGTCTCTGTGGACAGGGATGGAGAGATCTGGCTTGGATGACAGAGGAAGAGATGAGGGCCATGTCGGGGATCCTACAAGAGCATCGGCCAGGAGGGAGAGCTGTTAATTTACCTCCTTTGCCTTTGCCACAGGAGACTGTCCAAATACGTGCCTGAGTTCTCCTTGGGGGACCCCGGGGTCTTCTCACAA